GATTATTATTATATATAATTATTATTATATATAATTATTTAAATAATTTAGAATCGACTTTTCCTTCTTTAATGGAACAGTCGAAACATTTCATTTCTTTAACTAAATTTTTTGTACAAAAAATAAATTATTATATTTTAAACTGAGGAAGAGTTCAATCATCCTATATGGAAGTATAATATTTTCTCTCTCTCTTTGGACTTTTAAACGGCATCACGTGTACCGTTGTCTGTCGTATCAATTATGCGGTTGTTAATTTAATTCATGGCTTGTCTGGTAATTAATAGTCGTCGTTAAAGTAATAGTAAACGCCCTGCGTGGTTGTACATACTACATATGTAAATGGGACCATATCTATTAAAATAATTTTTCATTTTCAAAACCTCGTATGAACATTGAAATCCAAGGAGAACTAAAAAAAAGTATTACTTTGGAAACATCACGAACAACCGCCAATGAATGTGCAAATGATCTACATCGCGGGAAAAGGAACCTTTAATCATCAATTATATTAACTTAATAGCCGCATATTAATGTCTACTAAATAGCAACGTTGGTTCTGTCTATTAAGCAACATATGTTGCATTATCGCCATTACATGCATTTAACATAAATTACTTATATGTAGCTAGTATTTTGTAGTATATACAAAGAATTTATCTTACTTTTTCGCTACAGGTAAAACAGATCCCCCACCGGATGAAGAGCCAGAATACATAAAGTCATGCAAAAACCCAAAATTTAAGAAAATATTGAGATTATTGCATCATATAGACAAAAGTGTGAATGTAGATGGACAATTTCGAGATTTAAACGTTTTGGAAATCAAAATAATCTCAGTAGATACAAATTGGAGAGGAAAAGGCGTTGCAAAGGCTCTCATAGAAAAAGCAATGTGAGTATTGTCTTAATAATAGATTTAGAGCTCAATATGAACGACGCGTTCAAATGAACGTTATATTTTTTACTTATCTATCTTTAGAGAAATTGCGAAGGAGCAAGGATTTCATTACGCTAGGGCAGATTGCTCGTCCTTATTTTCCGGCAAACTTTGTGCACGAATTGGCTTTGACGCGATATACAAACTCGATTATAACGACTACGTGGATGAAGAAGGAAAACCAATTTTTTCACCTGCTTCGCCTCACACAGCAGTTGTTAGTTACATAAAAAAATTATAAAGAGCAAAAAAATTAAATAAAAAGTTGGTATTAGAATAAAAAAGTGGTCGTCGGAATCGATAACAAACAAGAATTCAGTTTGACAAGAAAATATTAAAGATGTATAATTGAGATATTTGCTCTGTGTTTTATCTTTTCTTCATGAAATAAACATTTCTTTAAATGCACATACAATCATAAGTAAAAAATAAAATATTTTATAAGAATTGTTTCAGACATGATAGAATGAAAGCACATTCTCATTACTTTTATGTATCATCTGTTATGTATGTAATATTATATATTATGACACTTTCAATTTTTTTAAATAAATAAGCAAAGCCTGATAATAAAAATAATATAAATTTTTATCCCTCTTTAAAAATCACACAAATAGAAAAGATCACGTTTATTTTTATTTCTAATAGAGAGGAGAAAAGGATGTCGAGAAAAAATGTGTGAAAACAAAATACTCATGTTTAATAATAGACTTTTTAATTTAGTTTTTGATAAATTATTCATACTAAAATCAATTGCTATCTTTATCCAGGAACTCATTAAGATCCTTTGCAGAATTAATATTCTCTATGACATATTGACTATCATTGGATTTGTTATGTGCTACATTTCTAGTCTGTTGGTATTCATTTTCTAATTCATTATTTCGAAGATTCACAATCTTTTTCATTCTAATAGAATAAACCATAAAAATAAAGTGTACCAACCCCAACCCAAGAAATAGAAAAGCCATTACACGACCAAAGTGTGCATTTGGTTTTTGTTGAGGTGGTGGCCATGGTCCTCCCGCTGTACGTACTTCATATTCCCATCGACTCCCATATTGGCTGCAATAATACATTCCATTTTCTTCATCAATTACATTATATTTTTTATATCTGTACATATTAAATAATATGTAGAATCAATTGTAAAAATAAATCTTTTGGCAGCCTTTTTTAGAAAAACATTCAAAATATTCTATTTTGGCATTAAAATAATCACTGAAAATAATCATTGAATTTTATGGCTTATTTCCAATATATTTTTAGAATAGTATAAATACATACACACACACACACATATTAATTCAATAATTTTAAATTTTTATATTAGTTTTTGGTGAAAATAGAAAACCAGTGATGCAAAAGTAGAAATCTAAAAAATAACAGTTGTTTCCATATTGCATAATCAATGAATATATTCATCTCTTTTTATATACTCAATATTCGATATTTAATATTCGATAAATGTTCAATATAAAAGGGACTTCATCAATTTATTTGAAACTTATATATTTTGTTTCGAAAAATAAAAAATGTGATTGATTATATTGTAAAATTCTAAGAGGAATCTATATAACTGAACTGAACGAATATAGTGGCATGAGATACTGTGTGGCTCACAAGGGAACTTCGCGAACCCGAAAATTTTGATTCTGATGAAACTTTAGACATGTAGGAGGGCTAATAATAGATAAATTTAGGAATGTTCAATTGCGACCCAAAAACGGTTCTAAGAGGTGAAAGCATCCCTCATATGTATAGAACGGTATTTTGCTTTTCTCGATATATCTCGAAAATTATTCTAGATATTTAATAAATTATTTCTAAATTATTAAAAAATGTTTTATGCAAAAGTTTCATGGTAAAAACAATTGTATATGTTTTTAATTATTTCGCGCTTGTCTACAATGTTCTTTTTTTGAGGTTTTCTACCCAAAATATATAGAATATGTAAGTTAAAAAAAAAAATGGTTGGAGTGTTATATATATATATTAAATATTTACTCCATTTTCTAAAATATTATACAAATTTTACCTGTTTTGTGAGTTATATGTATAGGATGGATTGCTTTTACTGTACTTCAAGCCTAAATCATATTGGCGTCTAGTATTTTCTTTCCCCAAAATCGAATAAGCCTCATTCAATTTTACAAAATCAGAATGACTGTGTTTTCCACTAGTATCAGGATGTAGCTAGCAAAAACAAAAGTACAATTTATATGACTTAAGAACATAGAATAGTTAAAATAGAAGCACGTTATGTTTGGTTTTATTATATCAGACAAGCTAAAGAGAATATTTATATTTAATCCCATCTCGATTAAAAAATGAATTATCTATAAAATTATTTATAACATACTTGTTTTGACAATTTAAGGAAAGCTCGTCTGATTTCTTCTTGCGATGCATTGGATGAAACATTTAAGGTTCCGTAATGATCTTGTTGGTATCTTTAAAAGAAACTGCGTGCTATATTGAAAGTATTAGGTCTGTCCTTTTTAGCAATACCACAGTACATATTACACTTTTAATACTCAGGATGAAATAAATATATATTTCAATATATCGAAGAGAAATAAAAAAAAGAAAACAAAAAAAATATACAGAAAATATCGCTAAAAAGAACAAGTTTGCTGCAGTTTGACAGCAAAATAAGGATAACTAACCTATGAGTTCCATAACTTCTAACTACCCAACAGATTTCCGGTTTACACATTCGAAAAAGTTGTGCCATCATTTGCAGTATCTTCGAATGAAGCAATCATTTCGGCGACATTGCAAAACATTTTGCGCATCAGAGATTAATATGTCAGACGAACTCTGCCTCTGCCATTATCTACGCAATGTAAAAATAACATGTCGACTGTCGACATGTATCGCTGATATTTTGAGAGAGGACGTGTTGGTTGCATAAGTTTGTAAGGTAAATTCCTTTATAAGCGCGCTCGATATACTAACTCTATAGTTGATAAACGAAAAAACTGCTTTAACGGCTCCTAAGAGCAGAGAGAAGCTACACCGCCATTTGTCGTGAGACTGTTTCCCTAGCTGATACAGTGGCGCTAACTAGATCCACTTTAGAGCCGGCAGAACTACATAGCCAAATTCACTTTTTGATGCTATGGTAAAACGACCGGTTTTGGTGCATGTCCGTGCTAAACACATCGTGGATCAAAAATGCAGAGAAATATTATGGATTTATTAATGTTTTATTAGCTGCACATGATATTTTGTCATTTTAATATATAGCGATAATAAATTATAATTGAAGTATTTTTATATATATGCGCATGTAAAATGAAATAAATTCTCTTAAATAAATTTTTTTAATAATTTTATTCCTAATTTTTAAATATAACGTGTAGAAGATATTTACAATAAATTGCTTTCACTTTTTTCTTATTCTTGAAAAAAATTAAGCATTTTAAACATTATCAAATCATGCTTTTAATTTATATAATCTTTTATTATTAATTTTTTTTTATAATTATATTATTCAATTAATGTTTTAATTTATGAATTCAGTTGGCTGCACTAGTGCGCACCAATGCACATTAAAAACTATTATAAACAAATATATATATAAGCATAACTAATTATATTTTCTTATAGTTTTAACCGTGTTCTATTGTTTTTTAAGGTTGGAGTGTTATATATATATATTAAATATTTACTCCATTTTCTAAAATATTATACAAATTTTACCTGTTTTGTGAGTTATATGTATAGGATGGATTGCTTTTACTGTACTTCAAGCCTAAATCATATTGGCGTCTAGTATTTTCTTTCCCCAAAATCGAATAAGCCTCATTCAATTTTACAAAATCAGAATGACTGTGTTTTCCACTAGTATCAGGATGTAGCTAGCAAAAACAAAAGTACAATTTATATGACTTAAGAACATAGAATAGTTAAAATAGAAGCACGTTATGTTTGGTTTTATTATATCAGACAAGCTAAAGAGAATATTTATATTTAATCCCATCTCGATTAAAAAATGAATTATCTATAAAATTATTTATAACATACTTGTTTTGACAATTTAAGGAAAGCTCGTCTGATTTCTTCTTGCGATGCATTGGATGAAACATTTAAGGTTCCGTAATGATCTTGTTGGTATCTTTAAAAGAAACTGCGTGCTATATTGAAAGTATTAGGTCTGTCCTTTTTAGCAATACCACAGTACATATTACACTTTTAATACTCAGGATGAAATAAATATATATTTCAATATATCGAAGAGAAATAAAAAAAAGAAAACAAAAAAAATATACAGAAAATATCGCTAAAAAGAACAAGTTTGCTGCAGTTTGACAGCAAAATAAGGATAACTAACCTATGAGTTCCATAACTTCTAACTACCCAACAGATTTCCGGTTTACACATTCGAAAAAGTTGTGCCATCATTTGCAGTATCTTCGAATGAAGCAATCATTTCGGCGACATTGCAAAACATTTTGCGCATCAGAGATTAATATGTCAGACGAACTCTGCCTCTGCCATTATCTACGCAATGTAAAAATAACATGTCGACTGTCGACATGTATCGCTGATATTTTGAGAGAGGACGTGTTGGTTGCATAAGTTTGTAAGGTAAATTCCTTTATAAGCGCGCTCGATATACTAACTCTATAGTTGATAAACGAAAAAACTGCTTTAACGGCTCCTAAGAGCAGAGAGAAGCTACACCGCCATTTGTCGTGAGACTGTTTCCCTAGCTGATACAGTGGCGCTAACTAGATCCACTTTAGAGCCGGCAGAACTACATAGCCAAATTCACTTTTTGATGCTATGGTAAAACGACCGGTTTTGGTGCATGTCCGTGCTAAACACATCGTGGATCAAAAATGCAGAGAAATATTATGGATTTATTAATGTTTTATTAGCTGCACATGATATTTTGTCATTTTAATATATAGCGATAATAAATTATAATTGAAGTATTTTTATATATATGCGCATGTAAAATGAAATAAATTCTCTTAAATAAATTTTTTTAATAATTTTATTCCTAATTTTTAAATATAACGTGTAGAAGATATTTACAATAAATTGCTTTCACTTTTTTCTTATTCTTGAAAAAAATTAAGCATTTTAAACATTATCAAATCATGCTTTTAATTTATATAATCTTTTATTATTAATTTTTTTTTATAATTATATTATTCAATTAATGTTTTAATTTATGAATTCAGTTGGCTGCACTAGTGCGCACCAATGCACATTAAAAACTATTATAAACAAATATATATATAAGCATAATTAATTATATTTTCTTATAGTTTTAACCGTGTTCTATTGTTTTTTAAGTAGTTTTAATTGTTGATAGCGTTAATTAATTTGTTCACGTTCATATGATCGCCGGTGATACTATCAGCTATCAGATTTTCGCAAAATGTCATAAAATGTCAAAAAATCGCGATATCTTGTGCAATATTGTTTTTTTAGCGCTGCACATGATATTTTGTCATTTTAATATATAGCGATAATAAATTATAATTGAAGTATTTTTATATATATGCGCATGTAAAATGAAATAAATTCTCTTAAATAAATTTTTTTAATAATTTTATTCCTAATTTTTAAATATAACGTGTAGAAGATATTTACAATAAATTGCTTTCACTTTTTTCTTATTCTTGAAAAAAATTAAGCATTTTAAACATTATCAAATCATGCTTTTAATTTATATAATATTTCGATATGTATTTATACGACATTAATTTGAAAAACGACTAAAACTCTCTTTTCTCTATTATTGTCTTTTTCACTTTCATTTTATTTAAAAATATTAATATTAAAAATATGACTACAGTATCTCTCTTTGTCTGACTCTTCCCCTTCGACCTGTCCGGCATGGGTGACCCTACCGGTAACTTATTAACGTTTTTGAATGAAGCAAGTTTAATCACTTTGAGAGCGATTAAACCCAATTTATGATGAATATATATTTAATTAAAAATAGATTTTGAAAGAATCTGATTAATATAAATAATATAAGATACATTCCCAGTTTTTAACGTTATTTTGTCTTTAAAGTATAAAATTCTTTGCCCTGATTAATCAATTAAACGATTATTCAAAGTATTCTATCGATTAATCTATATAATAATTCAAGTTCCCCTAATAACCCAAGACAAAGTATATGACATCATTAATCGGTCTCAAAACAATCAAACTTGCTTCACTCGAAAACACTATACGTTACCGCCGGCATAGCTCTCAGGTTCATTAGAGCACTCAAACCTCCTCACCCGGCAAATGCCTTCGTTAAGGTGGAGATACCATCGAGGAGGAAAAATGTGTGAGGATAGGCTTTTTCCTCTTTTTCATTTCTCAGGTTTATTACATAAACTTTATTATAATGAATCTATTACACGAAAATGTCCGAAATATTCATATAATGCAACATTTACTAGAAATTTTTAGATCATATAAAGATGAGGAACGATTAATACGATATTTGTGATTAATGATCAACAATAGTAATTGTAAATTACAAAACTTATTAAGTTTTGTATAATGTGAACAATTATGACCAGAAGAATCGTTAATAAAATTATCTATTGTTTTTTAATTGTAGAAAAAAGTACTTGGTCTATTGGCGCATTTTGCGTAGACTTTCAAAAAAAATATTCGAAAGAAGATAAACGAAGCTTCGATGTAAATCAACAATTAAATTACAAGATAAACCGTGATTTAAAATTTGCGAAAAAAACGCGACGAATAAATAAATCGACGATAGTCATAATACTCGATTCCAATGTATGAACATATAAAATTTTTGGACCAATCAGAGGAACGATATAATTACTACATACTTATACGAGAATGTTTCGATGGACATTTAAAACGCTTTTTATAATCGCGTCTGTAATAGGACATTTGTAAAGAACCTAATACCCGATTTATTTTAAAATGCGTGATTTTATGCAAATTTCGCGATTAAGAATAAGAATATAAGTACCATTTCGCGGATAAAATCTTATAAATCTTAAAATACCGTTATAAAAACATTGCGTTATCGCCGCGTTCAATGGAGGATAACTGGCCCAACGAATTGACCAGATCAAGATCCCTCCACCAGATAACACGCCGGTTAATATCCGACAAAGACAAGAACAATCTTAAAGGTGGAAAACGATCAACTTCTTACTTCTACATCGGATCTCGCAAGATCAACCCGCAAAGAAAAGTTAAGTGATCCGTTGAATATCAGGAACCCCGCTGTAGGAGGGAACGAATCCCAGATCTTCCAGACTACTCCCGATAGCAATGATTTCGGTAACGAATCAACGACAGTTACCATTGTCATTATCTTTAATTCACGGATTGAAATTCGCGCGAAAAAAAATATGTTCTTCTTCATTATTAAAAAATATATCTCTTTATTGTAAATTAAACGGATATAACAATTTTTATGAAAATGTGGTTACGAATGGCTATATATTTATGGATAATAAAATATATGCATGGTTATTGTAATTAATGTTAAATGTGCAAATACAAATCATTCTCGGGTACTAACTGTTCGAGACGAATCGAACCCAATAACAGCGAAATTTAAAAAATAAATTTAATTTGAATACTTTGCAACATATATATATAAAATAAATTAAAATAATATCAAGCAGAATTATAATAATTTTAAGCTATAATTAATTTTTTTCTGTAGTATTTAAATATATTAATTTGCCGATATTTCACTGATATCGGGAGGTTTAATTCCAATCCTGCAACGAATATTTCCAATTTTCAACAGACTACCGAACTAGACGTCGCGGATGGATCTTACAAGAACCGACAAGAAATAATTTTCCACGATGAAGATTGTTTCGACTCCTTGCCGGTACGAACCACGCAATTTTACTAACGTTTACCTGACGAGAGGGACAGCGATAAGGCCCCTTAGCTAAGACAGCGATCGCGTCCAAGAACGTGGAAAAAACGCGGTGTTTTCATAATGTAGTTAATTAATTAATTTAACAAAAATTTAATTTGAATAATGAATTTCCGATACAAAATTTATAAATATCAATCAAATCAAAATCAAGTCATGAAATTCGGAATAATTTACTCGCGATTATGCATTGTCGAAGGCAGTCGTTAAATTTCGTGAACGAGAAGCTAATATTTAATCATTAGCTTAACATCGAATCTTTACATTTTTATTCAATAATTTTTCTATTAAATAGAAGAATTTGCGACACTCGTGATATTTATAAAATTTAAATTATAATTTGCCGAATTTATCAACAATTCTTTGGTATGAAAACAAACTCTTAAGTTCATAAATATTTTTAAAATAAATAATATAGAAACTAATATTTAATAAATATATTAAACTAGAATTTCTATTATATTGCCATTATATGTTCTTTCGATAAATTTTCGTGTAATTGTCGCGTTTTTTATGTCATTTTATTTGCAAAAATCTTATTAATCAAGTCAAATTACGTTCAAAAATATAAGAAATATAAAAATTTTATAAAAGTTTTTATATATTCAATAAATGCACTCTGTTAGACACTATTTGTGCTCCGAAGCGTTTGGTGGACAAATGGGGGCGAAGAATCTTGTTCTTCGAGCGAAAATAGTGTTAAGCAAAGCGT